AAAAATCTCTATTTTTTTATTTCTAGTTCCCCTCCTGAAGCAATGAGTTTGGGAACTTCTCAGGAAATTCTCATAATCCAAGACAAGCCTTGCAAAAAAAAATATTTTTCTACCTTAAGTCTGATATCTAAACGCACAATTTGCAAACCTAAATAAAGAAGGACTAATATTTCTATACCAAGAAAATTCTGTATAATTTCTAGCAAGAAATAGGAAGGGTTATTTCATTCCCTTTTTGTTTTCAGTACTCTGAAGCTGTAAAGAAGACCTCTGATATTTTCTTTCCAAAGACATTTACTACGTGTTGAAATTCTATTGACACATATTAATCTTTCAGCCTCTCCAAGCACATCTACAGTGCTGAATCTCTTCGATTTCTTCTGCAATAGTTGAAGAAGCTATGCAGCCTATGAACCCAATACTGAGAGCTGAAGAAGAGGTTACAGGAAAGTTTGCATTCTCCTGAGTCTTGAAGGAAAAAAGCAGTTCCAAAACTCCAAGCTGATCCAAAAGTTTGTACCTGGCTGGTAAAAAATTAAAGTAAACTTTTAAGTAGGCTTATTACAGGGCTGGAAAAACCTCATGGGAGGCGGGGAGCTCCTACTGTAAGAGGAACTCCCACTACACACATCCTGCACACCTGCAGAGAATCCTATCCACAATGCAATTAGCGTGGGAATGTTTTTCCACACTTAGTGCAAAAGACAAAAATATAATTAAAACCCAAACAGTAGGTATGCAAGGAGTTTGCTTATTACACCTAAACACTCTCTAAAAGCTTTGCTATGATCCATTTTCAGATTAACAAAGTGAAGGGTGAATTATCACAGCCGTGCTGTGTGCATCTTGTGAACTACCTTCCACACGCAGCTGGGAAAAATGGAACAAAAAAAAAAAAAAACTTAAAAACCTTCTCTGCATAACAATCAGGAGTCATGCAGGAGAAGCCAGAAACCGAAGAGTTAATTACTTGCTGAGGAAGTAGAGACATGAACCCGATATTCTATGGTTCAGTTTGACATTTGTGCCATTGTAAACACACAAGCATTAGTCAGGTAATCCAGAGCATGATGTCCACAATGTTCTGATTCTATCTTTATAAACAATGAGTCCAGGAAATGAGAGAATGCTGTTATTAGGAGAAAGCCAACTGAAAAAACAAAAGAACATGTCCCAGTCCTGCAGCAGAGCAGCCTAAACCTCAACAAAAATAATGATTTCCACCAAAACAAGCCAACAAGCTGTTGCCTTCTTTGATAACACAACTGATTTGAACTAAACACAGAACTTAAAATACTATGAGGAAATTTTCAGAACATCCCCATGCAAGCCAGGGGCATCGCATACAATAATTACAACACCATTCTTCACTTTACCGATTGGCAATAAAATGCATTCATGCTGAGCTGTGAGACACTCAAACCAGCACCCCTAAAAAAACAGGGGACACTTCCCTTTTTTTCCTTCCACGCTCTCACCTTTAACACAGATATTGGTTTGCACAAGCATCTACATCAGGCCCTGCGTTACACCCACAAGCGACCTTCCACCATGCTGCATCTCACCAGAATCAGCTACACGCCACATGTTCTTAATTAAAAAAGGAGCACAGCTTTGTAGTTTATGAGACGGCAAATAGGACAGCGATGACTGTTTGCACTTGGGCTTTCTCTGTAGTTTAGCACGCCGTGCCCTTCTGCAGAAGCACAGGCGGAATCACACAAGAACGGGGACAGATGTAGAATTAAAGCACCTTGAGGGACAGCTTTTTCTATGAACACCGCCCGCATCTCCGCCTTGCGCGTCGCAGGTTATTTATGGCACTGCTGCCGTCCTCCCCTGCTGACGCACTGTTCGGGGAGGATGAGCGCATGATTGCTCCAAGACCCTGGAGACCAGACGGCAAGTGAATGATATTCCACGTCCTGGGATCCTCCATAGCGGCCGTGCAAGGAGCCTCCAATTACCCCACGGATGACTTCGGAAGCATTCCTGAGCCGTCCGAGCCGGCTGCGAGGATGGAGTGGGGGAGCAGGCGACTGTCCCAGGAGTGAGAATTTAATTTAAAAGGCTCACCAGTGACTGAAAGCCTGGCTGCATTATTTAGTCACTTTCCTAAATATTCTGAGTCTGCAGCTCTTGAAAAAATGAGCCAGGTGTGGGAATATTAAGAGATGGGAAGCATGTAACACACTTTGCTAAGCCAAGTGGAATCCATTGAGAATTAGCTTTTAAATGAAGTATAACTACTACCTTTCTGTCATTACACTGTACAAATTCTAATCTGGCGGTTTTGCATAATAACTGCCTCCGATCTACAGTGTTGCTCCCAGATGCCGAAATGAACAGATTAAGATCTGCACAGCTTTAATAGCCTGTCTCTGCAAGAGGTCCACCGCACATTGTCTTTTGTTTGCACACTCTGAAACCGCAAAACTATTCTTTTTATATTCTTTCCACTTTAAGCCGCCTACACCAACAATCGCGAAAGAAGATATCACACATCTCGTCATGTATCTGAACGATAAAGATAATTTCATAATCGACAGCAGTTTGATAACACATCTGCATGTGATATAATAGGCTGAGATACTAAGTGTAATACCGTAAGACAGTGTATCATGCTTATAACCCATAACATTGCGTTCATCTTCTGCCTTCATAGGTCAACTTGTGTTTTTTTGAAGGTTTAAAACTTGAAAAATTCTTTACGGCAGCTTTGTGGTCCTACAAGGGTACTGCTTCAAATGATGGTGGTGGATCTGATGACAAAAATGTCCTAGAGAGTGCAAGGACTGGACCTCCTTCATCCTTTCCCATTGAAGCTTATTTACACATTTCTCTAAAAGTGACATGCACGGAGAAAGCATGTCCTATTTTCGAAGTAGTTTTTCCACATGTACGTGTTCTGATGCTGGAGGAGTTTTTTTTTACGGATGCAGGCAGGAGTGTCACGGTCATCCTTTCCAGCAGCTTGGCAGGAAAGCTTTACACACACAGGGACGACCTCTGAACTCTGAACTGGAAAGGAAGGTGGAAACAGACCGGTTGCCTTATCAGTTAGAGTATCTGCGTTTTTAGAAATGTTCTTTAAGGGGCAACTGAGTGACTCAATCAATAAAAGGGCTCACCGAGAGTCCAGGTTGATTTCTATGGCTCAGACACTGATAAAATGACCCCGGGTCACATCACTAACTGAACAGGATTCCCCAAGCAGTGAGGAATAACTGGTCAAGTGCCGCCAGCAGTTGCGTTCTCTTAGGCTTCCCTGTGAGCATAGCGGGCCACCAATCAGCACCACCTATCCCATCCGGCACTACAGGACCAGTACTGTCTCCACTGCTGACTGGCTCTGCAGGCAGGTAGGCGACAGCAAACCATCTGTATTTTCCCATCAGCTCTAGGGAGAGGAGGAGAGGACGAAGGCAAGGGCTGTAGGGCTTAAAATACTACTCTAAAAATACAGGTAACTGGCAATTCCAAGTGCTTTTTTTAAAGAAAGAATGTAATCCAATACAAAAAAAAACAACTCGATAACATAACACAATAAGCTCCAAAGTTATCTACTTACACGTTTATTAAAAAAATTAAACATCGTCCAGGAAAGCTAATTAGAGAGAAGCTAGTAGACCCCACTTGGTGAAGAGCTGTGGTCATATGACACAGCCGTCGGCCCACTCCCTGAGAGCACATGAAAGACACCAGCCAGCCAATAGTGTCCAGCCATTTCTAACTGCTCTATCCAAAACATGGCCAAGGGGGAGCTGGAGCCTATCCGGGCAAGCAACAGGCAGGGTACACCCTGGATGGGACACCAGTCCAGTGCACGGCACACACAGATACACTCACACTCATACCAGGGCTAGCTTTATGCTTGGACTGCAGGAGGAAACCAGAGCACCTGGGGGAAACCCACATGAACATGGGGAGAACATGCAAACTCCACACAGACAGCACCCCAGGAACTGAACCCTGAGCTCCAGTACTGCGAGTGCACCACTGTGCCACCCCCACCCAGCAACAGAGTCCAGTACTCTCACAAAGGGCAGAGCTTCTACCATTCAGTTACTGTGTATATACGAACATAAACCCCATCAAGAGGTTTTCATAGGTTCAACCTGCACAATATAAAAAATGATTAATGTAAAACTGGGGGCCAAAAATTCTCAACTAAAATCATTTCAACACGATTATCTCGACAGAACCAGCTTACAACTGCACTTTGAAACACCCTAGCGGAGTGCAAAAACAGTCTGGGCCCATTCGTTACATTTTCTGCGGGTCAGCTACGTTTTTTCTTTCAAGGAATGTCCTTTCAGCAAGATGTAACCTGAACCACAGGTTCTGTGAGGAAAAAAGGCAAAGTTTTTTAGCAAACGCTGACCCCCCAGACCTTGCGAGCTAAAAATATAGCAGCAATCTTGCATTTTGCAGATTTAGTTTTTTTTAAATGAAGGTTATTTTGGCTGAATTATAGCCCACCTCGTTTCTCAGTACAATTCTCTGCCGTCGGCCTCCAAACACACCTCCGCCCCCCACCTAGAATTCCCCACAGGATAGGAGTTGGGGGTCTGGTACTTTCCCTCTGGGGATGCGCTTCCCTGCAGCCGGCACACGGCGACTGCGGTGCCGGCTGACCCTCCGACACACAGCCCGCCGGAACCAAACACTACAAGGATATTTATTCTCCACACCAAGGGCCGTAGGTGGGGGTAAGGGGTGGAGACACTCTAAAGCCATCCGTTTGATTCATTCAACACAAACATTAGTGGGATATCGGCCATTCGTCCCTCAGCCCCTAGCTGGACCCGTCTTCACTCCGGTCTGGAACATTCTATAGCGCTTTTTTTATTTTTACTCATCAGTAAAGCAACCCGAAAAAGAAAATCACATTATCTCCGCCAGTTACAATGAAAAAGAACTAATTCGCCGCCTAAGGAGTTCTTCTTATTATTTCCAAATGGTGTTGAAGTCTGCCTCGCAGCCAAGCCAGTACTTACAGTGCAGTTCGTAAGAAACCATGCGAACAGCCCAGATATCGCCAGGAGCAAGTGTACTTGCGGATCAGCAGACAGCGCTTGGCACCATCTGGCAGTAGCTGCTAACTTGGAAGGGGGAAATATGCAGCTTCAAACACAAACATTTTTAGAAAATGTAACCCCCTTTCCGTTTTCTTGACACGACGTGCGCACATCTAGTTCTTTCGGAGAGATGTTCAATGATCTCAATACGGGGTTCCCCCCCCAGCCACAGAGAAACGGGGTGCTGACCGAGGCCTCCAGCTTCTGGCCGGGGACAGTGGCACCTGCCGGCTACACTCGCACTCCCAGACACCATAGCAACCGTTTCCTGTGTCAACACAGCTCTTAAAGTGGACACAACTACTTTTGTTTTAGGTGGATCTGAAGACCATTGATAAATACATCCCCTGTGTAGCCAGATGGATTTACTGAATCATTCCATGATTCTTCCGAAAAAAGGGAGATTCCTCTCGCGTTTAAAGCGCACACAGACTCACTTTAGACCCAGACAAATATTTATTCCAACAGGAAGGAGATGCATACATCTGCGATTATTGTACACTACCATGGTTTCAAAGCATTAAATAGCCCATCCAGCCACTTTCCAACCACTTGATCCTGGGCATATGTGTGAGAGCCGAAGCCTATCCCAGCAAGCAACAAGTACATGGCCGTGTGCATCCTGGACAGGACGCCAGTCCATCGCAGGACACACATCTAAATCAGAATCCAATGGCAGGTTTTGCTCATTTGAGACCTAGACAGGTCATTACCATTTAAATGGTAAACCTAAAAGACACAGAGGGTCCCAGCACTGCCTCCAGCACAGAGCATTAGAAAATGGACAGTTCCCTATGTTTAGGGGGGACACAAATGAACGTCTTTGTGTGCCACAGGATCATAATGAGGAGGGTTGGAAAACAAGCACCAGACACAACCGACCCATAAAATAATATCTGGTGGCTCTCCTGGGACTTTCCCCATGTCAATGTTAGACACTACATTCTTAACCTTATAATAACAGTGTGCAGACAGGAAAGTATAGGGAGGAAGGAACTGCCCTGGGATTTATTTCTTCACAATAAAACACCTCTCTTTGTTTCACCAGGACAACAAAACAAATGTTTCCATCTGTAGTTCAGGAGAACACACAGAGCGGTCGTATCTGGAAAGCCAACTGCTTAGTTTTGTAAAAAGAAAACTTCCTGAGGCCACTCTTGTACAAGAAAGCAGGATCAGCCAGAAAAGACAAAGGAGACAACAACACAGCTCAGAGTCTAAGCGCCCTTTTAAAGGTGGCATCAGCCATTAATGATTACAGGTGGTCTCCTCAGTGAGAAATGTAGCAGCACGTTTTAACCCTTTCCTAGGTCCACCATTAACCTGCAACTGGTTTAAGTGCTGGAGGTCATGTTTGGTCATGCCTGCCTTCTCCATAACAGCCTCCACGGGGTTCATGGGAGCCTTCTTATTGTAGTGTCCTCCACCCCAATAGTGCCCCCTGCTGGTAGGCTAGAGGGCTGGTTCACAAGTGTGAGAACAGACCTGGTAGAACACAGCACTGGCACACTCTCATCGCCAACAGCGAGGGACAACCAAGTCCAAGCACACTGGAATCGAGCCTCAGCTCTCTGGTCCTGGGAATCACAAGCGATCGTCGCCTCACTGCAGGGTGTCGCTGTATTCCTGTATCCACTTCAACCACAGTAATAGCACACTGGAGGCAACTTATTAAACAATTACTTCTAAACACATGGCAGCTTCTAATTACAGTGATTCAGGACAAGAATTCCGATGTGTTTGTGTGCCTTTTCTGTCGTCACGCTGGCTGGGGTTACCAGCTGTTAGGGCCTCCATCCTTGCTCAGCTCCGATGGGGTTTGGTATTGGGGACGTCTAGGTGCCGGAAAGGAGGAACGAAGATTAGTAAGCACCTTCAGGAGACCAGAAAAAAATTCACTGCCATCTGCTTGGTTCAGCGGCAGAAACACGAGAGGCTGCAGACAAACAAGCCAACGTCACTCTTATGATTTTAAGGTTTTAGTCTCTCTCCCTCTGGGAGAGATTTTGCAAAGCAAACTTGTTTATAATGTGCTTATGTGCCCAACCACGCTACAGAACAGAACCCTGTTTCAAATTTGACTAATAAGCACTGCAAAAAAAAAGCAATGCTTTAAAAACGTGCTCAACAGAAGGAAAATACTGTTCATTTTAGATTACAAAATATTCTCAACAGGAAACTGGGCCAAGGGCTCTCTGCCCTAAAATGTAAAACTTTCTTATTGTATTTTTTTTAATAATGACCCTATAGTTTAAATTATATATAAAAGTCTGAGTTTGTTATCGATTGATTTGAGCTAAAGCTTCAGGAAGGCGATTTAAGAGGGAAAAAAAGTCCAAGAAGTAAAGGAGGGGCTGGCACGCTGTAAGGGTACGAGTTGGCACCGCGTCCCGATACAATCCGACTGAAGCCATGCAAGAGCATGCCTGGAATCAATAAAAATCACAAAGGCCTAGCAGCCCTGCTGCTCTTCCAGTCTTTAAACCACTTCATGTACGGCAACAGAGATTCAGAAGATGGGCAGAAAGTATTGCCTCAGACTTCCTTGTTACTATTTTAATACGGTGGCTATACCTTATATTTAACGCAGAATGCTGCAATGACACATACCAATTACAAAGAACAATCAAATAAGTTTTCAAGCGAGCGGCTCAAAGTTTTGCTCAATAAACAAATAAACGAAGCTTTCATTTTCGCCCGTGTGTTCTGCTCACGTCTAGATGGGATAATAGCAGAGGTACCATTTGCGTAAAATATTCAATCACATCATTATATTCCAATTCAAAAGAGAAATACACAACAGGGCTTGAATAGACTGTAATTTCCTACAGAGGTGGGACTGGATGAGATGACATTCCAGACCGCAGAGCCTGTTCTTAGAATGGTCTTGGAACAATTATCTTTCCATGATGAATGCCCCAGGCTCTGCTGATTGATTTATTTATGCAGCCTAATGCATTCTGAAGCTTAAATAAGAGTGTTCAGCGATAACGGACCGAGGCAGTGTGTGGGTCGCCATCAGCGGGGGATGATGCAAGGTATTGTCTTGTACAAAAACCTGCAAAGTTAATTTGGGAATATGAACAAAATCTAATAATTTAGGACGGGTCAGTAGGGCGGCAGTGAGGCTGCTGCCTCACAGCTTCTGGGTCCTGGGTTAGATTGCAATGGGGCACATTCTGTGTGAAGTCTGCATGTTCTCCCCACAGTTGTGTGGGTTTGTGCAGTGTACTCCATTCTCTTCCCACCTCTCAAAGATATTCTGGCGAGGTTAACTGGAGTCTCTAAGCTGTTCCTGTGTGTGTCCTGCTATGCATTGTCATCCCATCCAAGATGTAGTCCTGATTTGCACACTATTCTTCAGGGATTGTTTCTGAGTAGCTCCAACGCTTAGCAGGAATAAATGGTTTTCTGATGATGAATGGTTGGATATGATAAATAAGGCAAACAATTCTGGTCTATTCTCAGACCTCGCTCCTGTCTGCCTTTGACAGCCAATGACAACGCCGGCCCGCAGACATGTAGCACAGGGCGCTGCTCGGCTCAGACGACCTCTGTCTGGCCCCTTTTCTTTTTCTTTTGGGGTGCATGAGAGGTTTACCTACTGCCCGTTTTTCTCTCTCACTCACACCTGAAGAAGACTCCACAGCCGAAATGTCACGTCTCTTTTCTTTTCAGCACGGAAGAAACCTTTACTCGTTCCTTTCAAGCCTAATCATGGTGAGCTGCCAGTCTTGTAGCAGAGTACAGGAAAGCCAGTGGCAGGTGACATCTCTCTCTCTGAAGTCCTTTCAAAACGTACAGTATGAGCTCTTGATGCGCAAGGCAAATTCAATTGAATCAACCAGTCCTAGTGTGGTCAGGCTGAGCTTACCTGAGCCAAGCCTGTACCCTAAAAAGGTTTAAGGAGACAAACCCACACCTGTGCTAAAGCCTCTCTGTGCCTGTGACTTCTTGCTTGTTAACCCTCCGAGCATGAATGGCACTGAATTCAAGAGCTAAGATGTATTTTTGTTGTTTGTTTTCCCAAATTCTAGCCCTGACCAGAAGAACGACGTGCTGCGTAATTACAGCCTCCTCCTGCGCCCCCTTTTTCCATCTCTCTCTCTCTCCCATGCCTGGCTCGCGCTCGGACACCACAGCGAGGAGCACCGCGAGAGGGCCCGGTGTCGATGGTCAAAAGACATTTTGTCAGACAAAAGCTCATGTCAGCCATTTCCAGCAGGGAACGCGACGCGGTCTTGAACGCAGTTAGCCTCCCTGTCCGTTTCAAAGGCAAGACTTAACGAGCCTGTGCTTCCAGTCAATTTGCAATGTGCGGCTCCACTGTCACCCCCATGTAGGGCAGCCCTGTCACGGCACGTCTCTAGGGCAGCGCTGTAATACAGCGGACAAAAAACGGAAACCCTCAAAATAAATTCCAACCAGAAAGGTTTTAGTAATAGATAGTAAAAGGTTTCAGTAGCAAAAATTTTAGTAATAATGCTTTATTCCCCGTATCTCAGAGGGCACAGAGTAGACCGACCTGCTGCTTTTGGTGACAAGAAGAAAAAAACAAGAAGAAATCAAGGGACATGAAAGAAGATGAAGGATGATGAAGGAGAGAAAACGTGATGCAGATGAAAGAGATGAAAAGGCTCTGGGGGAGAGGATCCTTTATTAATATAGGTAGGTGCTTCGCCAGAGGCCTCTTAGAAAGCCCAGGGCAGCTAGAGCTCTGGACAGCAGGATGATAGTTTTCCATCCCAGTGGAAAAGGGAACAGGGGGAGTCTCAGTTATATGCTTCCACAGCAGTGCTGGGGCCTGAACTGGGAATCCCCCTGTGAGCACTGGAAAAGCACACCACTGGTTCACTTGTTGCACTGTGGATCTTGCCAAATAAAGACATTTCAGCAGCTGTCAGTCTTCCCAGCTTACATCAAGACGCTACACAGCTAACACTGAGTGGACTGAGAAGAATACAGCACGCCTGATTTATTTTAAAGAATTAACTGCCCTCTGATGCATCACGGAGCACTGACAACAAAATGTACAGCTGACTAATAAGCCGTTACCTCTTTCATAACACACACTACTCCAATTTCTGACTAATGGTACTCACGCCTTTAGAAAAAAATCACCTACGTGTCAGAAGCTCTTGCTGCGGGTACAGTTATTTAATGATGACCGACATCTGTCCAGACAAATGCTTGCAAGCCTCTCTTATTGACAGCAAC